CTGACACGAAGAGAACATATTCACCCTTACTGCCCAGTTCCAGTACTCCAGGTCTGCAGAGCTGCTTCAAGTGTGAAAACATTTTTTTCTAGAGCTATACCAGCTCACTACAAAATGTGGTCATCTGCTCTGAAAACAATCCCTAGATGTCTGATGTGCTGCAAATATAAAATAATACCCAGCCTAGAGGGGAGCCTTACAAGAGATATCAGTCAAAATCTGATTTTGGTATCAAGAATGCAATTTGTCCTTAAAGGCAGAGTCCACAGACACTTTTCAAAGCAGGTTTGTCAAATACAGAGACCTGATTCATGATGGACATAAAGGCCATCCCAACAGCCATATATCTCCTGCTGAATACTGAGTTAAGTATGGATGCAAGAAGTGGTACCTGTATGACATATTTGGGAGGTACAGAAGGCCACACTGCATGCTCATAGCCAGATGCCCATTTCTCTTTGGATCTAGAGGAGATCCATCCCTCTTGTGCAAGTGTTCTGTGGTTCAGAAGTGTTCCCAAGTCTTGCTGGTGTCAGCAGGGTCAAAAGGTACCTGAAAAATCCATGAGGGGGACAGGCAGAGATGCACTACTGCCACACACAGTCTTCCTTCCACAACAGCATCTCCTGCTCACTGCAGGACAGCAAGGGCTGGTTAAGGGACCCTCTCTGGCCCAGAGCAGTGTCTGTGGCACAGCATATTTGAAACTGGAACGTAAACCTAGCAAACCTGTGGGACACAGAATGAGGCAGGAAAGGGATAAAGAATTGCTGTCTATAATTTGTCACATATTATAGAGCAGGTGCCTGGAAGAGATGGACTTTTGGGGATGACTCTTCCTTCTCCTATCTCTAGAGGGAGCTTCAGAGTGTGAATAAACTGACTGTGTGTGAACCTCTAAACAGGGCTGAAATGAGGTGCCATGCATCTCTAGCTGAAGCTCAAGGTAACAATTTTTAACGTTTCCTGGACTTGTTTAGGCCTCTGTGTCTCTGTCCTGTTTCTGTTGTGCCAGATGGGAGGGTTAGTCAATGTAATACAGCAGCTTTTGAAGATCCTAGGCACTCCCAGCCAGAATTTGACAAAGCAGCCAAGATTTCAAAGACACTGACTTCTTGAAAGTTTTACAAAAATAAGTAGATTTTGTAGCTGAGAAGAATCCAGACTTCCTTCTTTCAAGAGAAATGCTGCCTTGTGAACTCAGCCATCAAGAAGTCCATTTGAAAAGAGACACGAGAAACCAGGTTACCTAGTTTCTACCTTTTACCAACATAACAGGTTTCTTTGCAGCCCTGGAAATATGTTTTCTGTAGTCCTGGAGATGCATGTCACCTTATTTCTGCAGCGCTGGTGCCAGCAGAGCCAGCGGGTGGCTGTGCTGAATTCCAGTGCCAGCTGTGCCACAGCCAGTGCCAGGCTCACGGGCACCATGAGGAGCTGCTCCTCTGTAAACCAGAGCCTTGTGCCACACAGCCTGCACTGAACATGGAACTAAAGCTGGCAAATGGCAAATAAGCTGCTCTCTTTAAATGCATTGTAGGGATTCATTCTCCACGTCCAAATAAATACTCAGTCTCTGCAAATGCTGCTGACAGTGTTTTGACAAGGCAATTTAGGATGGAGTTTTTGTTCCATGAATGCTTGCTCACAAAGCAGGCACAGGCAGTGTGCTTGGCTAATTTTCTGCTTAAATGGAGCTAACAAGAGGTGTTCTCATCCCACAGGCTTTCCTGTTCCCTCCACTCTGCTCTGCTCTTTGCAGCTTTCTTCAAACACACATACACCGGTGACCAGAGCCCAGAGCAGCCTGTCACATTCTAGAATGCTTTCAAAAAATTAATTTGGATCTGCTGGTAAGGTTACTAAAAGCTGACACAGCCCTTTTGTTCCAATTTGCTTTCTTTGTTTTAGTTTTGGCCTATTCTAGTTTCCGCTGATTCTGAATTAATATCTTGTTGCGAAAAGTTAAGATTTGTCTTTGATACAATTGAAAAAGAAAATAAAAGAAAAAAAAAGACAGCTTGTAGCTTCAGAGTCCAGTAGTTAAGGTTGAAAGTACCAAGCATGGCAGAAATCTGTTAGAAAGATGGTATATAAGTGTATAAATTTACTCAAGTTTTCTCAGTTATTTGATCAAAACAATGTTAGTAAAGGAAGTGTTTATTTGAAACTCCAGCTTCAAATTTTACACATTTGTGTTCAAATGCTACATCACAGTAGCTGCAAACAGCTTCAGATCAGACATATATCCCATCTGCTGGAGAGACCAGGAGCCAAAAACCAGTCCTTTCTGCCAGAATCCCCTGAAAGGAAAAGAGCTGAGGCAATAAAACATCCTTCCTTCCCTTTTCTGGTCACCTGCTCCCAGAGTGTGCCCTCAGGCATTCCAAGAGGATGTGGCTGGATGGGAAAGGGTGGAGCAGAGGTACCATTTTTGGCCAGGGTCATTGTGAAACACCTGCTGGTGCCCCTTCCAGCATCAAGCCCAAGGTCACCAGCAGAGAGGCAGTGTGGCCAGGCCTCCCCAGCTTGCAGAGCCACCCAGTGAAGGTCTGACCTCCTCCACACATCTGGAGATCCCTGATAAGCTAAGGTTCACTCCAAGCAGGCTCCTGGAACCTACCTAGTGACCAGCAGATGTACTTCCATCTGGGCAAGTGCACTAATGGCACTAGAAGCCTTTCAGTCCTTGCCAGGTGCCCAAAGAAGACACTTTTCTCCCATCCAGCTCTCATTCCCACCTGCTCACCTTTGCTGGAGCTGGTCTTTCTAATTATCAGTGGGAGAGAAGACCAGCAGTCTCACCAGAGGGATATTTGTGAGTGTCAGCAGATAGCAAAGAGCAAAATGCTGTGGTACGGCCACTTCCTCTGAAATAATGTTTATTTTTATAATATATGTCTCTTCTCTAAAATCACATTGACATCTGTAGCTGCTCATGTGAAATCCATACTTTCTGGATATGTACCTGATTATAGGGGTGGATTATGGGGAAACACTCTCTTTAAAAGTGGAGGAGCCCAGGGATGATTCCTGTGAGAAACCATTCTTGGCCAAGACCAACATGTGATCTTGGTGAAGTGCAGATCTTTCAGGGGACATGAAAGTCTGGGAGGGAACAGTCTAAGAAAAATGAGTTGTTTCTTCCGCACCTTCATCAATCAGGTCCTTGCCCACAGAGGGAGCATTGCAGGAATTTCTGACAATGAGTATATAGAAGTATATTTCAGCTGAGTATATCGAAGGAAGAAAACTGGGAAAGGAAGGGGATCATCCAAAACTATGTCATCATCTTAGGCTCATTCTGGACCCCTTTTTTTCCTTTTCTTTGTTATTTCACTTTTACCAAAACTCTCTGTCCTAACAAGGACATTATTCTAACAAGGCACAAATTCTAACACAGACGTAGTCACATGAAAAAAAAGTGCCCTATTCTATTTGGAAATGTGAGAAAAGAACTCTCCATCAACTGCAAGCCCTTGCCAAGGCAGATGGGCTCCAATTCAAGCACACGCTTGCTAAAACAAAGGGAAGGGCTGAAGCACAGTTTCCTTCAGTGTCAAAGCTCACCTTCCTGTTAACGTGCAGTATGTACAGACTGTAACAGACCAGAACTGCACATTCAGGCATCTTTAAAATGATGTTTTCTCTTTTCATGTCTGTGACAGGTTGAAATAACTTTTCCATCCTATTTATTTTTTCATTAATATTTCATCTCATGTAGCTCCACCCCTGAAAAAACATTTGATATACTATTTCACACCTATTTTAAAATAATTGAAAACTAAGTTGCTGTTGAAATGAATAATCCTAGCCTTCTCCTCTCCCTGCCTGCTGCTTTACAGTCTCAGCCCTTTTAAAGGTCAGCTCCAGTGATGGTGTGGCTACACATCCCACAAATTCAACAGGAAAGCCTCACCATTCAGTTACAGGTAAATAGCTTTCAAATTAAATAGGTCAGGGGCAAAAATCAGAGCATTCCTGTCAACAAATAGTCCTAAAGAGCAAGAATCCACCAAACAAGAAAGCAGATGCCCCATCTTCAAGCACAGCTGCTCATTAGAATTGTCCCCAGGACCCTGTGTCAATGAAGATACGTGGCATGCACACCACTGAGTGCCATCAAAACAGTTATTTTTCCTGACCCCATCAAAAGAATCTTTGATTAAAACTGGCCTTGTTTCAGCATGGAAGGCAGCATCAGGAGTGGCACTCAGGCTGTTCCTCCCCAGCACCTTCATCACTTCTTCCCTCTGGCCACAACTGTCTGGCACAACTGCCAGGCAACAGCAGGCAGCAGAATAGGGGAGGCAAATGATACTTTCCTTCTGATTACTGATTGCTGGGCAGGCCCTTCAGGAAAACAGGAGGGCTGTTTCTCAACCATTGTGGTGCCTATGGGTAAGAAACAGAGTAAAAACACAGGGTGATCACTCCTTTTGCAGCATGTTTTTATGTACTGGGAAGGAGAAGGGATGGGAATTCAGAGCAATGATCTCGCTGTGGGGCTGCTTCCCTTTTATGGATTTTCCCAAAGAGCTGGGATTTTAAAAGTACACTGGCCTTGAATGGAGCAGTTGGCTGGCTGATAGCTCCCCTGGCTCTAGATGTGTAGTGGGGGGAAACTTCAGTCATCAAACAATTGGCAGCTCCAGCACAGAGTAAAGTCAGTTGCTATTTCAGGGAAAGGAAAGGCAACTGTTCCCTGCAGGGAATGTCTGCACTAGCTCACAGCCAGGAATAGGCTGCGATTTTTAAACTTTTTTTCCACCCTACACTTCAGGAAAAGTGAACACACAATGTTCATTCACAGGGATCGTTTCCTGAACATGGTGTGTGCTCACTGTCCCACAGGTCACTTTCCAGTGTGTCACATCCTTCTGCACAAGGGAGAGCAGGAAATGGCAAACTCCCAGTATGAGGCAAAGCATTCCCGTCGCAGCAATTGGTCCACAGGAGCTATAAATTGGTCTCCTCCAGAAACAGATCAAAATTTGTCTTCTGGGAGGGTGGCTGAAAACTGAAGGTGAGTTTGAACCAGTAATTTTTTGAGTGTCTTTGAGTACTCTATTAGGAAAGTGTTTGCAGGCTTTGGACTAATGTATACCTTTAGTGCTGGGGAGATTTTTCTCTAAGAGCAGGAATGGTTTTTTCCCTTTCTGCTGGCATTAATCACTGTCAAAAGATTTGCATCACTACATGGCCTATGCTATATTTGGAATGATTGTTCTAATAATATATATAATATATATAATAGATTGTTCTAATAATATATATATATATATTTGGAATGATTGTTCTAATAATTCAGTGTGATAGTAGCTGTTATTACCTGAGACAGTTCTCAGCAACTAAATCTTCAGAACAAATTATTGAGAGGCTACAGGAACTGACATATATAATGATCATCATATTGATCTGTTGTTAAGTTATTGGTGATATGCTCAGCGTTCATTTCAATGTTGGTATCCATTTAGATTAGTGTTAGTCCTTGTGTTTCCAGCTTTATTTCTAATTATAGTGTAAAAATAATAGGACACAGCCTCCAGTTGAGAGAAGCACAATGTACTAAGGGATTCAAATGACCCAATGACACCAAGAGAGACTGGGGGCATTTCCTGAAGGGCATGGGGGGTGTCTTGAAAGATCTGTGTGAGATGGATTAGGACAAGTTAGCAGAAGGGGGAAAGATTGCAGTGAGAATTACTTACGAATACTCTTCCATATGGAAAGACTATGGTACAAAGTTTTCTCCTTCTGAAACATGAGGATTCTGCAGAATGAAGCCCCAAGGATCCTAGCTACATAGTGTGACTTTATGAGGGACCAGGCACCTTCAGTTCCCACAGTACAGAAGATTTTGAAGTGAAAAGGTGCCTGCAGCAATGAATAGTTTTGCTCAGTTGGGTTAGTGACAGGGTCTTTCTGCTGCAGAGACTCCTTTTGGCTGTGAGGGCATTATGGGCTCCAAACAGCTCCTCAGCTCTATGGCTGGACCTTGCTAGGTGCAGAGGCAGCACAGCTCTGTGCACAGTGCAGCGTGGTGAAGCACAGAAACTCTACTTCTACCAGACAATCAGCTACACCACCATTCCTGTTGGCTCTGTTGCCTCAGGTTCCCTGTAAGCAGGATTGAAGTTGCTGGCTTCCTTTGTAAAGCATTTTGCATCCCTAGAGCAACCTGAAAATATTTATTGGAACATTTCTTTCTGCACTTGTGGCAATGAACAGAGACAGCAAACAGAGACTGTCTAGTACAGATACACTGTAGATTCATCTCCTAGAAGTGAAGCCTCTCCTGCTGTCTTGCCAGGGGAGGTTTTCCAGACCCAGCAGTTTTCAAGCCTTTTCTATCCACAGCCCTCTGTATTTCCCCTGCTTCCCCAACTGCCAGGGAGTGCACACTAAAAATGGGCCTGCTTTTCCGATGTGCTCTTCATGACTCTTACTAACAAGGTTCAGAGGCCTCCTTGCCACTGTAACTGGTTATTTATGACCACAGAACAATAGTTCCCATCTTTGTTCATACAATGACACCAGGTTACAGTAGGAAAAAAACCCATGCTGCAGGGGGCCTCGAGTTGATGAAGCTCAAAGAAAGGAAGGATGTTCACAATACCCATCCAAAGCATTAATAAGCTCCTCACCTCCTATATGCAAAATCCAGACATAGATTCCATTCAGCAGCTTCTCTGTCCTCCTTTAATAGGAAATCACCCCTATACAAAAACCTGGGAGGGTAGCTTTCACCTCCTTGCAGTCTGACCTTTCTTGTGAAAGATGTCCTTCTACATTGCAGATCCTCTGAATCCCATCAGGGGGGCAACAGATTAGTTCTGGCGGCATTACTGCTCTGGGCACTGAGTCACCTAACCTCAGGGGAATTTCTGTCCCCAGGTTTCAAAAGACCTTTTGTGTCTTCACAGAGATAAGGGTAACAGCACCTCCCACCCCAGTCCTTAGGATACTTCAGTCTTTGCAGGGATAAAGAAAAACATTTTAAAGTTTTGCTGTCTGAAAGTTACAGTGGAAAACGTAATTAAATGTACACATTCATATGGGGGGGGGGGTGTGTGTGTGTACGTGAGTGTGCACGTGTGTGCAGATGGAAAACCTTTCTTGTAGCTGGGCTGAAGCAACAAAAATTTGTCTGGATGCCATCCCTGAAATAGTGGTGGTAGAGGATGAGGATGTCTCACGGGGCTTTTTTGACATAGATCCCACCCCAGACTTTGCTTTCTCTGGACAGAAGCCATGGAGAGGGACGGTGCTGCCTTCGTGCCCACAGCAGACCCCACGCAGCACTTCCACGCGGCCCTGCTGGAGCAGCGGCAGAGGCTGCG